AGCCGATTCAAAGTTGGACTTACGCGTTACAACACAGCCGGTTGAAAGTTAAACTTATGCGTTTTCACATAGCCAGTGATAGTTGGACTTACACACTTCCGCACAACAAGTTAAAAGTTGGACTTATGTACTTCCACACAACTGGTTGAAAGTTGAACTTACGCGCTTCAGCACATCCAATGATAGTTGGACTTACACGCTTCCGTACAGCTTGTTAAAAGTTGGACTTACGTGCTACCACATAGTCGGTTAAAAGTTAGACTTACGTGTTTTCCTTCTGCCGGTTGAAAGTTGGACTTACGCGCTACCACACAACCAGTTGAAAGTTGGACTTACGCGCACAGCCAGTTGAGAGTTGAACTTATGTGCTTCTGTACATCCGATGATAGTTGGACTTACGCGCTACCGCACAACCGGTTAAAAGTTGGACTTACGCACTACCGTACAGCCAGTTGAAAGTTGGACTTACGCGCTTCCGCATAGCCGATAAAAGTTTGACTTAGGCGCTTCCGCACAGCTAGTTGAAAGTTAGACTTACACGCTATCGTACAGCCAGTCGAAAGTTAGACTTATGCGCTATTGCATAGCTGGTTGAAAGTTGGACTTATGTGCTGCCGCACAGCCAGTTAAAAGTTGGACTTACACACTTTCGTACAGTCGGTGATAGTACACGTCGCAATGAGAGGAGGAATTGTGAACTTGGGATCCAACTTGAGATCCAAACGCGTTTCACGCACGAGGAGGAAATGGTGGTGTAACCAACAGGCATACCTAACCATATTTCAGACTGAAAAGGGGAAGGTTTTAACCCAATAAGAAACCAAAGTTGAAAGACCAAAGCACACATTCTGAGTGCCATCGTGAAGTTTCCAAAAACGAAGACGAGTTGGGCATGCAACTTGATCGTCGTCATATGAAAATGAGAGAACTTGGTCTTATCACTCGAGTCCAGCCGTACAAAATATGACTGACCCAACTAATCTTTGAAATTTCCTTACAAAAATAGACCAATCCAGCCAAATTACGAGCTAACCAGCCAAAACATGATCTCCACGGTCAAAAAGTGACCGACCCCGCCAGAATATGACTAACCTAGACAAAAGAGGAAACAACCGACTAACAAATGGTCCACCCAGCCAAAAAAAGTGCAAGCCGGCCAACAAAATTTCCACACAGCACAAAACTTAGCCGATCGGCTAAAAAAGTACTAGCCAACCAATTTTTGTGATACCGAGGCAGTAACGGGTTGGGCGAGCCGATTGGCTTTAAAAGAAGTTAGGGCTTATTTCTTCACACACCCACATCTGATACACATCTCCCCTCCATCTGAAACTCTCTCTCTAGATTCTCTCTTCATTTTTGGATTACCCAAGACCTGAAGTCGACTCCTTGTGGATTTTGCCACGATTTTCATCATATCCTCATCCAAAGCAATCCGGTGGTAATCAACCACATGGAACGGATCTCTAAGATAACCACGAAGCATGGATACATAGAAAACGTTATGCATTTGTTCCATCCCCAGCGGCAAGGCAATACGATAAGCAACAGGACCCAACCTCTCAAGGATCTGAAATGATCCAATGTAGCGAGGAGTCAATTTTTCCTTTTTACCAAATCTCATATGCCCCTTCATTGGGGTCACCTTGATGAATACATGATCTCCCACCTCGTACTCTAAGTCCCTTCTTCGTTGATCGGCGTAGCTTTTCTCTCGGCTCTGTGCAGTTTTGAGCCTTTGCTGGATGATATTGATCTTCTCAGTCGTATCTTGCACAAGTTTAGTCCCATAAATAGCTCTATCACCAACCACTGTCCAAAAAAGTGGCGATCTACACTTTCTGCCATACAGTGCCTCATATGGTGCCATACCGATACTCGTGTGAAAACTGTTATTATAAGCAAATTCGGCCAATGGCAAATAAGTTTCCCAACTTCCCTGAAAATCCAATACACACATACGAAGCATGTCTTCTAAGGTCTGAATAGTTCTCTTAGTTTGCCCATCGGTTTGTGGATAAAATGCTATACTAAATCTCAATTTTGTTCCCATTGCCTCCTGCAAACTATGCCAAAATCTAGAAACAAATTTAGGATCCCTATCTGATACAATAGACACTGGAACCCCATGCAGTCAAATAATCTCATCAATGTAGATAGTAACAAGTCTATAAGCAGTAAATAAAGCCTTTATAGCAAGAAAGTGAGCAGATTTAGTCAATCTATCAACTATAACCCAAATAGAGTCCATACCTCTAGGTGTCCGAGGTAGGCCAATAACAAAGTCCATGGTGATATGTTCCCATTTCCATTCTGGAATAGAAAGAGACTAAAGCAGACCCGCTGGTTTCTGATGTTCCACTTTTACCTCCTGGCATTGTAAGCATTTAGAGTTGAAGTCGGCAATCTCCCTCTTCATGTTGGACCACCAATACACTGACTTCAAGTCTTGGTACATTTTGGCGTTTCCTGGATGCATAGTAAACATTGACTTGTGAGCTTCCTCCAAAATTTTCCTTTTCAAAACCGCATCATTCGGGACACACAACTTTCCTTGATATTTCAACACAGAGTCTTCAATTATAAACGCCAGTCTAGGTTTGGTGTCAAGTTCATCACGGAGCTTTTTCAAAAACTTATCATTCATCAATTTCTGTTTAATTTCCTCGATAATAACAGGCTGGGCAGACATTGTAGCCATCAAGCTACTTTGTTCAAAAGGCACTACTTCAATTTTGAGTTTTTCAAACTCCAATAGCAGCTCTCTTTGATCTGTGAGTAAACAGGCAAGATTCCCCACATTCTTTCTACTAAGTGCATCTGCTACAGTATTGGCTTTGCCCGGATGATAGTGAATCTATAAGTGATAATCCTTGATTATCTCGAGCCATCGTCTTTGACGCATGTTCAGTTACTTCTGAGTAAAGAGGTATTTCAGGCTCTTATGATCTGTATACACTTCACATTTGGCTCCATAAAAATAGTGACGCCATATCTTCAATGCAAACACTACTGCAACAAGTTCTAGATCATGTGTAGGGTAGTTCTTTTCATGTGGTCTCAATTGTCGAGAGGCATATGCAATAACCCTGCCATTCTACATTAAAACACAACCCATACCCTTATAGGATGCATCACCAAAAATCACAAAATTTTCGGTACCTGAGGGAATAGTAAGGATTGGGGCTGTAGTTAATCTTGCCTTCAACTTTTGAAAGGCTGTTTCTCTCTGATCCGTCCACTCAAATGGTTCCCTTTTTCGAGTCAGCTGAGTCAATGGCACCGCAATTTTGGAAAAGTCTCTGACGAATCTTTGGTAATACCCTGCCAATCCCATAAAACTACGAACTTCTGATACATTACTTGGGGTAGGCCAATTAATAATAGCTTCAATTTTATGAGGATCCATAGATATACCATCCTTATTAATAATGTACCCCAAAAATGCAATTTTATCAAGTCAAAATTCACACTTTTTGAATTTCCCATACAACTGTCTTTCTCTAAGTGTTTGAAGAGTCAATTTCAAATGTCGTTCATGCTCATCTTTACTTTTCGAATAGATCAAAATGTCATCAATGAATACAACAACAAAGTCATCTAGGAAAGGTTTGAAAATTTTGTTCATTAAATCCATAAATGCTGCAGGCGCATTTGTAACCCCAAATGGCATGACTAAAAACTCATAATGTCCATACCTGGTTCGGAAGGCAGTCTTTTCAACATCCTCAGCCTTAACCTTCAATTGTTGATATCCTGATCTCTAATCAATTTTTGAAAATATCTGTGCCCCCTGCAACTGGTCAAACAGGTCGTCAATACACGGCAAAGGGTATTTATTTTTCACTGTTACCTTGTTGAGCTCTCGGTAATCAATGCATAATCGGAGAATGCCATCTTTCTTTTTAACAAAAGTACCGGTGCGCCCCATGGGGAGATACTTGGTCTGATAAACCCTTTATCCAGCAATTCTTGCAACTGAATTTTCAATTCTTTTATTTCAGTGGTAGACATACGGTAGGGAGTTTTTAGAAATTGGTCGAGTTCCTGGTATTACATCAATTGTGAATTCGATTTCTCTATCAACAAGTTGGCCAAGTAATTCATCTAGAAACACATCAGGAAAATCTCTCACCACTGGTATATTGTCTAAAGTAATGTCTATCGTTGGTTCGATTACCACACTACACAAATACCCTTGGCAACCCTTATTCATTAGTTTTCAGGCTTTCATGGCAGATATAAGGTATGGTGGTGAGACTACCCCTTTTCCCTCGAAATAAAATTCCTCTTGCCCGGGAGGTCTGAATATTACTCGTTTCAAGGCACAATCAATTGTTGCATGGTATTTAGGTAGCCAATCCATACCCAAAATAACATCGAAATGTCCCATGTCTAACGGTATTAAATCAGCATACAAAATGGCATTCTTGAGAAATAATTCACATGCAATAAACACAGTTGAACATAGCATGGTTTCCCCCGTAGGTAATGTAACACATAGTATATAATTCAATGTTTCCATAGGTCTATTCAAAGTTTCAGCAAAGACCACAGAAATAAATGAGTGTGTAGACCCGGAATCAATTAAAGCATAAGCAAGTTTATCACAAATGGAGATTGTACCTGACACCACGGCCTCAGTATTCTGAGTATCCCCCGAAATCAATGCAAAAACCCTTCCTTGCCTTTGATCATTTCTTGTGGTTGGTGATGCTGCAGCTGGTTTCGTTATGGGAGTTGACCCAATTGAGCTTGTGGCACCTCAGTTGCCATCCTGACGTGGTTGTGTACAATCCTTGGTAATGTGCCCAAACTTCCCACAATGATAACAAGCCCCTGTCGCACGATAGCATACACCTTCATGTTTCTTTCCACATTTAGTACAAGCTGGTGTTGAATTACCACTTTGGCTTGAACTAGTATTACCAGAATTCCCCGACTTAAACCTCTTGTTCGTTGACGTAGTTCCCTTACTAAAAATTTTTTTTTCTACCTTTCTATTCGAAGTTTTGCTTATGGATGGCCACATTTCTCTCCGCTATTAGTGCCCTATCAAGTACATCCACATACGTCAGCAATTTGAGTACATTAACCTTATCTAGAATTGGGTCACGTAAACCTCCTTCGAACTGTCTAACCTTCTTGTAATCTGTGTTTACCATGTGGGGTGCAAAGCGAGCTAACTCTGTAAACTGAGCCTCATATTCAGTAATTGATTTATTTCCTTGCTTGAGTTCCATGAATTCAGCTGCCTTTCTATCCCGCACACATTGGGGAAAATATTTCTCATAGAAAATTTCCAAAAAATGAGCCCAAGTATCATCTTTATTATCATTTCGCATTAACATCCACCAACGTCTCGCATCACACTCTAGGGTGAATGCTACTAGTTGCACTTTCTGAGTTTCGGTACATGGGAATACTTTAAACAACTTTTCAATGCCCAAGATCCAAGCTTCGACCTTTAACGGTGCAATTATTCCATGAAATACTGGTGGCTTCATCTTTTAAATTCCCTGGTCAAGGCAATAGTACAGGTCTCCGGTTGACACCTTGAAGCTGGAGGTGGTACAGGCATTAGAGGTGGGGGAGGTGGTTATTGTTATTGTTGTTGCCATTGTTGTTGTTGTCATATGGCTTCAGCCATGTCTTGCATCATTCGTTCCATTCTATCCAGTCTTGAGGAGGTTGCCTCCTCTATTTCATCACCTCTGGTTCTCACCATTTTCTATATGAAACTTTGTATTATAACGAACACAATTTATATATATATATATAGTCATGTACGCAGTTGCATATATAATCACAACATATCAAATGTACATGAATGTATTCCTGAAGCCTCTTCTAGACTCTCTATAGCTCAATGGACAAGTGAGTGACATATAACTCGTGCTCTGATATCACTCTGTCACCACCCAAACCCGCCCCTATAGGTTTAGCGTCATGACCGGCCAGCAATCATAGATTGCCTATGGCCTCCATATAAATAAACCTTTAATATAAAGTACGGGGCTTAGCGGAAGTCTAAAATGTTATAGAATTCATCCATTGAGCCGTGCATATATGAAGAGAACAAATACGTTAAGTAAGGTTTTGATTCAAATACGTTAAGCAAGGTTTTGATTCAAGTTACACCCAACGTAAGTACAAATTCATGTCTTACAAAATACAACCCCAACTATGCACAAATACAAAACCATTAAACCACACAAAAGGGGTTCGACAAGCATGGCTCCATCCATGCCCGATTATTTCACTTAGAAGCTCCTCAAAGGGCTGACACGGGTAAACTCGAGGCTATCTAACTCTGCTACTCAGTTTGGCCACCTACAATTACATGTATAAATAAATAGTGAGCTAAAGCCTAATGAGTAATAACAGAATAAAGAGGTTAAATGAATGAAGTTTGACAATAGTACAAAAACATGTCTTACAATTTCGAAATGAATCTTAAATCATTTTCAAAGGGAGCTATTCGCCATAATAGATCAAATTCTCAACAAAACATTTGATTAGCAATAATAGCGTCTCTTTGCAGTGACAAAACCATTCGTAACATTATATGTGGTACATCCATGAAGTGACGAATATTATTCCAATGATAACGTATCATACTAGCCATGGTACTGTTACCCCCAGGCAAGGGCCTAGCCATGGTATTGTTACCCCCAAGCAAGGGCCTAGCCATGGTGTTATTACCCCCAGGCAAGGGCCTAGCCGTGGTATTGTTATCCCCAGGCAAGGGCCTAGCCGTGGTATTGTTACCCCTAGGCAAGGGCCTATATTCAGTGGATGCCACAATATCGTTTCAAAACAGAACTTCATTCATAAAGGACATAACATTTCAATAAGCCATGCTATCAATTATCAAATCATTTAAGAATTCATTCAATCAACCACATATCCATTTTGATAGTAATAACATTTTCGAAAGTAAAGATAATTTGAACATATCTTTATAAGGTTATTACTCACAGTGGTTTGCGGTGACACTAAGCCTCGGACGTCCAACTAAACGAAGCACATAACAAAGTACAAATGAAACTCCATTTCATTTTAATTCAATTCTCTTTATGCGTCTCTAACTTATTGTATGATTATCGGAGTCCAAATGGTGCTTAAGAATGCTTGGAGTGGCATGAGGATGCAAATATGCATTTAAAAGAGTTGGTAAAATTTTGCTAAAAACAAGGTCTCCGCTCGAGCGCAACTTCCTACGCTCGAGCGGGGGTTCAAAAACAAAGGTTGTCGCTAGAGCGGTCTGTAAAAGTACTGGATACATGAAATTCCCGCTCGATGGTCGCTCGAGCAGAAGACTGAGAAAAAGGGTACTCGCTCGAGCGCCACTTTGGTCGCTCAAGCGGACTATAAAATTTTAGAAACTTCTTGGAGCCCGAATTCCACGCTCGAGCGTAGACTCCCTCACTCAAGCGGACAGCACGAATTCTGGAATTTCCAGAACTGTGTTTGAAGTTCAAACATGGTGCTCAAAACTTCAAATCTTGTGTTTTTGGTATAAAAACATGGAGAGTCACTACATAACATGAAAACACTTCCAATTTGAACTCATTTATTCAAAATCATGGAACTTTCCCAACCAATGACTCCAACCTCAATTTATAAAATAAGTTTAACTCAATTTGAGTGTATATTTCCCCAAAACATGTTCAAAATATGATCAAGCGACATGAGAAGCATGAAAACATGAAGGATTCTCCAAAATGAGGTATAATTGTGCCATGCATGTATGAATTTCATGGAGCTTAACTCAAAATATGCATGTATGTAAGCAATTCAACACCATTCTTCCATTTTTATGATATTCATAGCTTCTTTTCTTCAATAACATGCCAATGAGTTAAAAAAATGAGAGGAATTCAACTACTACATGCCATAACTATATGAATTAGTGATGAATGCCATACCTAGTGTTGAGTTCAAGTGTGTTATGGCTTCAATCTTTGAATCTTCCACTAATTCTCTACAATTCTCCTCTTTCCGTCTCTAAATGTTGAACTCTCCTCTCCTCTCTCTCAATTCTTAGCTGAGTGTGTATATAAAATGAGCTCCTAAGCTTAATTTGGGTCTTATATAGGATGTGATTAAGTTGGCCAAATCAAATATAGTTAGGATTAATTAATAAGGCTTAACTCTAACTAATTCAATCAGTTTATTCTAATTATTTTGAACCAAATCAACTATCAATTAAAGTTGCCATAAAATTCTAAATATTCTAATTTGCCTATTGGGCTAGTCAATTTCAATTTCTGAAGCCGTTTAGGCTCCCAATTTCTGATTCTAAGTTATCAATTTAGACAGATATTCCATATATCAACAAATAATTATAGAATTAAACATGTAATCACACAATCAAGCACATAATCATGCAATTAAACTTATTTAAATTATATAATGTACTAGTTTGGAGGTCAGGGCCGTCACAGGAACACTCAAACCACCAAGCCTATGAGGACCATTACACTACAAGCATACCATACAAAGCATGAATGAAGTAAACACCTTAAAACAATCCTAAATTAGACTAAAACAGTGCTCGAATTGATGTAAAAGAAGCTAAAAGAGTATGCTAAAATAATGGAGAATGTAAGCTAGTAAACAAGCACACGGAAGGGTGGCTAACCCCTCAATTTTTGGGACCTCAAAACAAAATTTTTAGCCTCTCAAAAACTCTAAAATTTAGTGGTAAAAAGTTCAAAAAAAAATTGAGAAAAGAATGGGAAACACAAGGGCAAAAGCTTAGAGAACAACGTTCAATGATGGGTGATTAACCCCTCCACCTTTGGTATCTTTAAACCACAAGTTTCAGCCCATAAAAACAATTCAAAAATAGCAAGAAAACATAAGAGAGAAGTAGTGTAGAGATGCTCAAAATTATACCTCTTGAAGTAAGGTAACTCTTTTGTTCACAAACCACAAAGCTTACACTCTCAAGGGCTGAAATTTGGACTCAATAATCTCAGGAAAGAGAGCTCTAATATTGGTTTAGGAAGTATTTGGGTAAGGTGTATGTGTTTCAAGATAGAGATAGGGAGAGAATTTCAAGTTTTGAGACTTTTGGAATTTTTTCTAACCTAAAACCAAGAGGGTTGGCCTGGCATATATAGAAAAACAGCCTCTCAAGTCAGAAATATCTATGCAAAAACAACTGGAGCTTGTGGGGATAGTTGGCCAAAAATATTTGGGTTCTTACACAAGTGGCCAACAGGCCACTAATAGCGGGCGGCAAGCCACTACTGGCAGGTCAGACAAAAATCTGCTTCCAGACCCAACTTCAAACGGGAATAGCTCCTTCATCTAGACTCCGTTTTAGGTCATTTTTGAGTCTAAGTTGAATCCCTGGAAGTCTAATTTCCAATGGAGGTGGCCTTATATCTAAATTTTAAGTGTCAAAAGAGATATGCCCATTTTAGTGAAGGCTACTTATTTCAGTCCTAACGGATCGATGCCCAACTTCTTCCCCAACTAGTTTTCTTCCCTCCCCTCCTATTTTCTTCAACTCCAAACCTTTAGATTTTAAATGTTTTTCAAAGAGCTCACCTCTATTCCATTTATCTCCACTTTGTTCTTGCTCGGTTTACCGAAAAGTGCAATATTTTGAACGAAATGTGAGCCTCGAAGTATCGTAGAAACATTTAGAAAAATATTTTGAAAAAAAAGGTTTTAAGGTCTAAAATAGTTTTGGTCAAAAATGGGGTGTAAGGTTGGGATTTTGAAGCTCTTATTGCTAAAGAAATCGAACGTTTGTACAGCATAACTTTCATCATCGAGTGATCAACCTGAGGCACCCAAGTCTTAAGGGCGGTCAAAAATGGGGTGTCTACATTACTCAATTTTGGTTTCACTCAATACCCAATGAGTTTCCACTTGCTACTTTACTATACTCCACTTATTACTCAATGAGCTTCCACTTACTACTTCACTAGATTCCACTTACCACTCATTGAGTTTTTACTTACTATTTCATTACACTTCAATTAATACTTAGTTTTGATTGTGACAATGCCATCATAACAATTATGTGTTCATGAAAAACCATTATGTTGTTATGAATATGGTGAGTAAAATCATAATGAATAGTTACTATTGTGTTGTTGAATGGTAATCATTATCTCAATAAATTATACACATTGTCAATATCCTTCTTTTGAGCAAATCAATCTCCTTGATATAACCATATTACTCTTGTCCTTATACAACTAATCTCTTTGAATGATAAAACCTTTCACCTTTGCATACATATTATATAAACTTTCTCAATTTTCTACCAAATCAAATGTCATTTCAAACACATCTTTTTCAGTTAATTGATCTATACACTTAATATCTTTTTCAGTTTGGAGATCATCGGAACTACCGATATTCTCTTCATTACCAATGTTGTACTCGCCAATGTCAATATCATCATCATCATCCCAATATTGTCTTCCATCTGTGGTAAGTATAATAAAATTAATTAGATCAAACCAAATGGTAAATGATA